GATAAATAAGAAACTAGAGACTAATTTAAAAAAATAGAAAAGACAGAGAGAGAGAGATGGGCACCTTTTGGATTAAAGAAAAAGAGAAAGAATATAATAAAGGCTCCAACATCTGAGATATGGCATAGAGTCTAAAGGGGGAGATTGAAAGGGAATTCAAAATTGTATTCTGCAATTTATACATTCAATTCTTTGACTATATTTATGTTAGGGAAAATGGCCATCTTCGTCCCTAAACTTTTTTTTAGAGTCGATTTAGTTCCTAATTTTTTTTGTTGGCCAATTTAATACACAAACTTAATTTTCGGGTCTAATTAAGGCCTTCTACGGCGGCGCCACCACCTAAAAACAATTTAGCTCCTAATTTAATATTAAACAAGGGCCTTTTGGAAACTTCAGGTATGAATTGTAATCAAACTGAGTAAATTTAAAAAAAAAATTATTAGTATTTAGGGTATTTTTAAATTTAAAACTTTTTGAAGGAATTTTTAAAACTTTTAATTAACTTCTTAACCCTTCCTCTACCTCAACCTTCCTTAAGGGAAATTTTTAAAAATTTTAAACTCAAAGCTAGATGGAGAGAGGAGGATAAGACAAGAAGGAGGAGGTGGGTGGTTGGTGACGAAGGTTGGTAGTGGAGAGGAGATAATTCAAAATTTTCAAAAATGCTCATGTTTAATGTTAAATTAGGAGACAAATTGCTTTTAGGTGGTAGCGCAATTATAAAAGGCCTTAATTGGACCCGAAAATTAAGCTCATGTATTAAATTGGCCAAAAATAAAAATTAAGGACTAAATCAACTCTAGAAAAAAGTTTAGGGACGAAAATGACCATTTTCCCTTTATGTTACAACACATAGGTCCATTTGGCAAATGAGTTTTTTAGGTGTTTGGCTAAAATTTTACTTTACAAATCGTAAGAAAAATTTTTTTGATGGAAATTTTTTTTTTCTTTTTCTTTCTTTCTTTTTCCTTTTTTTTTCTCTCTTCTTCTTCTCCCTTCCCCCTCCCCCACCACCGCTCCCTCCCAGTTGCTGGAACAAGTCCGTTTGGATTAGCTATTTTTAGGAGTGTTTTTACAAAATTTTACTGTAACAGAGTTTTTAGAGTATATTTTGGGATATTTTTAGAAAATATTTTGGAATATTTAAGAGTAGTAGAGTTTTTAAAATATTTTTTGAAATATTTTTTAAACATTAAAAAAAATTTAAACTATTCTTTAAAGTACCTTTTAGAGTACTTTTTAAATAATGTTTAATGATGATATTTCAGATGAGGCAGATTAAAGAGAACAAAAACAAAAAGAATTTAAGCATGGGTTGCAACTGCGGCAAAGAATAATCTAGTGATAACAATAGCAACCCACCTAGTCTAGCTATATGATTTTCTCTTTTTTTTTTTCCCTTCTAATCATAGCAAAGAGGAGATGACTAGCAAAGTGGAGGATTAAGTAAAAGAAAATTATATATTAGCCCTAAATTATTTGAGAATCCCTCAACTACATGAAGGATTTATGAATGAATGACAAAATTAGAAGAAAGGGAAAAAATGAAAAAAGATGACAAAGGAAGAGAAATGGTAAAGGAAAAAGAACAGAGAAGACGAAGAAAAAAGTACAATAATAGAGAGATAGTTGGGTATAAAAAATGATTTAAGTGACAGAAATAAAAGGTCAAGGATAAAATGAGGATCAAGGTATACTTTAGTGGGATTTAATATAATTTACCACTTTTTTAGTGTATGATTAACACTAAGAAACATAACTATACGACTAAAGTACAAATCAATAACAAAATGGTTCCCCTTTTATTTCTTTGATAAAATCTCTCGTGGTCCTATTATTTTGTGAATAAATTTCACAATTCTCATCCTTATATGGTAATTCATGTGTAACCTTTATTTCTCGTAATTAAATGTCGCAATTTCTCTTGCATTATCTAGTTAATACTGAATATAAAAGTTTATCAATATTCAGACTTAATTTAGATAAATATAGATTGAGTTAATGTGCAAGTCCGCTAAGTTCCTCTTTTTCCATTTTTGGCCATTCATTTGCTGTAAATAAATATCTTAATGTTAGTTGTAAATCAATTTGGGATCAAGTATAAATGTGGGCATGTTATCTAATTGCATTACTCATGCGTCCCAATGCTAATAAGCATTACACGCTTGTTAGTTTTTAGTTTGGATTGTTGAGTTTTTCAAATACACATAAAATTTTTAAAAAGTATTTTAAAAGGTACTTTAAAAAGTAGTCTAATTTTTTTTTAATGTTTTAAAAAATATCCCAAAATATATTTTAAAAACTCGTCTACTCTTAAATATTCCAAAATATATTATAAAAACTTTGCTACAGTAAAATTTTTCAAAAATGTCCCAAAAAACAGCTAATCTAAACGGGGTCTGCCCTGAAATCATTGACAAAGATATACCACCCTATAGAATAATCAGTTAATAATACATTGATGATTTTAGGTCCATCATAGATTGAACTATCCTGTTTGCACAAACTCTGACAAACTTGATGTTATTAAGCATCTCCAGTAGAAAATTGAGATCAGAGTATCCTATCATATGTTCCTATTTCTGCAAAAAATACCCATCACCATTCTTATTTTTATTTTTATGATGTTCTATGCATCTTTCCGTATTTCAAATAACTATTACGATTCACAATCATTGGTACCAACAGATGTTAGTGTAAGTAGAAGGGGCTTACATATTTTAATCATGAGATTTTAGGTTCGAAACTCATGTAAATGGAAATGGAAATGACAACATTGGAAGAGTTTTCTTTCACAAGGGATCCGATCCGATTCGAACGTGATTCGTCGCAGACCGCAAAACGGATGTGAAGATTTATAACAAACAAACAAATAAATAAATAAACAGTCATTGGTATTCTTACCTATTATTACCTGACAAATTTTTTGTCATGTACATATTCTCGGATTCAATCCACTTTACAGTTTACACCCATGACCATGAGCCCACGAGAAAACTAAAATCAAAGTTCAGGGGGAGACTTCCAGTTGAATAGTTCTAAAGTTAACCTATATGAAGACAGCATAATTACAAGCCATACTGAAAGCTAATCCTCCTTAATCTGTTAAGCAGTTAAGCTTAAGATTCTTCTATTTCAGCATATCAAGCTCCAAGTATACACATAAATAAAAAAAGAAAATGATAGACAATAGACAACCAATGACTAAATCCAAATAAAGGCCATAGTAACTCAGTCATCTACTGTATTTCATTGTCCTACCATGCTGAAACCTGTTTTTTTCAGTGACTGGCTGACTGCCCATAGCAAAATCTAATTAAGTTCAACTTAATTGCTGAGATGAATTTGCCATCCAATCTAGAAGGGCATTTCTTGTCACTGTCATCTTTTTCAACCTTCCTTAGCGCCATATCTGCTGTTTTGGCTTTGAGAGCTACCAGTTTTCTATGTGATATAGGCTTAATCACATATTGCCCCCTGTAATTAGGGTCAAGTAGCAAATTACCCCCGATATTCACAAAATAAACATATTACTCCCAACTGACAACTTGTCAAACGTATGTCTCTGACAAAAAGATAATTATTTCCTCATTATTAAACACTGTCAATTATCTTTTTCCTTTTCTCTTTTTTCCTATTATATATAGATTTCTATTTACTCCTCCTCCAAATCAACTTTGATATACAAATTTTGAAAATAATATATTAAATTTTTTTCGTGGTTTAACATATACTATTATTTTTCTTGTAAACAATTCCTTTTGATGCATAAATATACTTATCATTATTTAGTTATGTAAAATATTGAACTATCATAAATTATTATACAAAATAAGAAAGTGTATATTTAATAAAATTAATTTAAGGAGTTTCTATTTTTCTTTAAGAGTATCTTGTTGTGCATTAATGGTTAATATAATGTTGGCGATGCACTAAATTTTAATAAAAATAAAATTACAAAAAATATTATTACTAAATATACAGTTGTTAGTTTCTTATAACGTTTTACAATAGATAAATATTCTACAAAACAAAAAGAACCAAATGTGTTTGAATATCAAATAGATTGTTAATAAACATATAGAAGAAACAAAGATGAAGAAAAGAGAAAATACAAGTAAAATATTTACACTAAGTATTTAGTTTTTAGTTTCAGTTACAATTAATGCATAACAAGGTTTTGTTAATAAAATAGAGATTCCTTAGAATAAATAGATAAATACTTTCTAATTTCTTACAATAATTAATTTTTTACAAGAACTTCTTTAACATATTATTATTATTATTATTATTGAAATTTTGTATTTCATAGTAGGAATTGAGGAGGAAAAAGAAATTTAAACAATAATAAAGAAACCAACAAGAAGAAAAAGAAAGAGACATGGTCATTTGATAATATTCTAATAATAAGGGGTATAATTGTCTTTTTGCTATCTAAATACATAAGACTATTATCATGAGGGGGTAGTTTGTCGACTTCATGCATACAAGAGCTAATTTGCTACTAATACCTAATTACAAGGGGGCAATATGTATTTAAACCTATGATAATATATATATATGTCCTTATCCTTGTTCTTTTTTTTTTTTTTGTTTTTTTGTCAACACAGGGAGTATCCCAGTTTTGCCAGACTAATTTCCCTGGAGTACCCCGCCCCCCAAGAGCACCCAGGCGATATGTGAAACCAGGCTCGAACTGCGCCCCACGAGGAATACCCTCGAGGATTCACCGGCTGAGCTGACTCCGAGAGGCCTTATCCTTGTTCTACAGAGGCCGTCTTTGCACGAGCATTGGTAAACATAGATTACCACCATTTTTCTCTAGCTTTTTGGATTGCAATTTTTATAAATTTTGTAGAAAAATGTACTGTAATGATTTAATATATGTGAAGTAAAAAGATAATTGAAAAATGTGTTCACAAAGACGTAAAATTTTTTTTGTGAAAAATCACAATCCAAAAGGATTCTCAAAGGCAACAATTTTTGACTCACTTCAGTCAAGGCATTTAAGGTGGTGGAACATTTGCATCTTCATGAAAATACAGACTAAATATTGTATGGGGGAGATGATACACTTAAATGGGCAAAATTGTACAATCAGCTGATAGTAGTGAAGTTTCCTTGGGAAACTCAGTGAAAACAGGCTCTCGGAAAATCAAAATCCACAGACAGCGCAATTTTCCCCCTCAATAACAATGAGATGGTACACCAAGAGTTGTGAAAGTATTAAATCCTAAAACCCCCCATTAGCATTTGTCCATGTCAATCACTTTCCCTGAAAGCAGATTCCAATTTCTGCAACCAGTTCACATACTGACTCTGCTCCTTCTTCCTTAGGTGAAGACGGAGAAAATTCAGAAGGCTCTCTCCGATTCCCCTGGCCTCTAGATACTTCTTGAGCTCATCTTGCAACTGAGGGTCCAAGTCACTACCAAAAGGAAGGATGTAAAAATATCATTACACATTTGAAAGGCAGAAGAGAGATGGAAGGAAGAGCTGACAGAGAATTAAGCCAGAATGAGCTATCAATTGCTTATACGAGTAAGTTTCACCTATTGTTTAAAAGAATACCCCTATACTTATTATAATCAGAGAAGCCCTTCCTAAGTATTTATTCAAAACCCAAGACAACACACTAAACTTCTCTTCCCTGCCTCTCTAGAAACTTTTAGATCTTGGTATTTTGATTTCTCATTGGCCCATTAGTGGAAATGTGAATTCTGAAATAGAGCAACCTTCGAAGCTTTTACTTCTGCGGGTCAGGTATTTAGCTCTAAACCATGATGGTGGTTTTTCGCGTTGATTATGGCTTTGCGGTTTGTGTATCAGACTCCTACCAGTACTTGTATAAACATATTTGCCAAGCAGTAATGCATTAATGTCAATTCAAGATCATTATTATTATTATTTCTTGACAAATATTACCGCTTCACCCTACAAGTCTGCTTACAAACCCCATTTCAACACAGCACTAAACTTGTACATGTTAGGTCAAAGCATAAAGGCTTGGTGGAAGCCCAAACAAGATCCACACACCAGCATAGACAAATTTTAATAGCTCCCTGAACCAAACCTTACACATTTTGGCATCATCAAGCCAAAAGGTTGAAATTACAGTCAATCGGTTTACAGGAAAGTAATCAAAGATGCTAAACAAGTGAATATGACCAAGTTATTATATGTCTATAATATGACCAAAAAATTAAGAGTGATTCCCTGTAATTTCACAGGATAATATGAGCAAAAAACTGAGAGCGATTCCATGTAATTTCACAGGATATTGAGAAAGCCTTTCAAGATAACCAGAGGATTAACAGAACCAAGGATGCTAAAGATGCAGAAGCAAAAAGTTACAGGTGCATACAAGACCAACTAAACTACCAAAATGTCAGCGTTAAAATGCGCATCAACATCAGCAAAATCAAATAAGAAAATTAGCCTTGACGATTAAACATGGAAAACTTCATACATACAAGACCAACTAAACTACCAAAAAGACCAAATAAACTACCAAAATGTCAGCATTAAAATGCGCATCAACATCAGCAAAATCAAATAAGAAAATTAGCCTTGACGATTAAACATGGAAAACTTCAATTACGCACGACACTAACTTGTTAATTCTAAGAAATAGCTAATGATATTCAACGTAAAAAGGATAAAACCCCAAAACTCATGATCAAGCCAGCCACACAAAAACAGAAGGTCCAAAACAAGCTCAATTTCATTATGACTTTCAAGAATCCGTTAAACTTTTATTCTCTACTCTTATTGCTAAGGGGAGCAAGCAATAGCAAGCAGTCTTATCCTGATTATGTTGTATATCTGACCTTGGATACATATGCTTCCCTACTTACCACATCAGGCACTTTGGTACCAGTTGTTTCTTCACAGGTGAGAAGTGTAGTATTATGATACATGTACCCCCCGTAATTTGCAGTTTTAACGAGATAAATTGTGGAAATTGTATTGCAATGTAGTAGGTGCCCAATTTTTTGGGTTGTTCTGAAAAAGCAAATAGTAGGATAAAGATCCATTGATGAGTGTAGGCATACTTCAGGGCACAGTCCTATTTAATTCTCCCAGGTGGATCTTACCATACGTTGGTTTTCTTGACGCCTAACCAAAAGATTACCAATGTTTATCAATAGCAGTCATCATCCTCTTAATTATATTGCCTGACATCATTAAGTCATACAATTTTCTATTTTCAAGAAAAGATTCACCTCCTGGAACTAGCCACTTACAATCAATTGCCATTGATCCTTATGCAAGACAATACTAGCTCATAAGTAACCAGAAATAGTTATATCATAATAACAGCTATCAAAGACCCAAATGCATTACCTGAATAAGGGGCCTCTATATACCGAAGGACTCAAGCAAGATGCTGATTGGATGTAATAGGCATTCTGGATATTGAAGCCTGACTTGTCTTCACCTCTGTTAGAAACTTCACAATCAAACAGCAGGATGGATCTCAACCCAGGCTTCTTTATGCACACTTTCATCTTAACATCAGTGGCTGGGGGAAATTCACCATCTGGTTCAAAAGACTGCCCCCGTAATAGGGCTGAAATAGCAACTTCCTCACCCGACTCAGATTTCTTTCGCAGAACAACATCTTGGGTTTTTGGAGAATCCCATTCTAGCACAAAATCCAGCAAGGACCCACTTTCATCACCCTGTTTCCATTTTGTTATACGAGGTATAAAAGATGTATTATTTGACTTCATCAGATAAACAGCTTGACGGCTCAAGACCTTCAGATTAGTCAATTACTAATTACCAGCTATGTTCATAAATAGAGCCACACTTAAAAATTTGTTTTGAATTTGGAAAGAGAAAAACCAAATCAGTTTTCTCTTCCATACATCATGCAGAATCTGGAGCTACTGAAATCAAAGAACACACAAATGAAACCTTGAAACTAGTATGCTTGCTCAAGCAAACCAAATACAAACATTACACTTGAAAAAGAAACCTTATTAGATGTTCAACACTTGATTACTAGAAACAGACAAAACTAGGGAGGAACCAATAGTTCCTGTAGGATCTGAGGTGATGCCTCAGCCATTCAAAATATAAGAGATTATTCAGTATATGTTTGAAAAACAGCTGCGGTTTTCGAAGAGTGGAGGCGCCTAATCCAATAATGAAAGGACCATTTCTTTTCATGGCTCATATGCACGAAAATGGAAAAGTGTACAATTGCACATGACAAGAATGTTATCCCTCAACATACATGGTGCAAAATTATTTACTTCTTGTAAAACTCAACCCCATAGTGCATAACATCCTAAGAATGCAATTATTGTCCCTACTTTTGAAAAAGAAGCACCATACCTCTTCCAACCCAGAAAGCAGCAAACAATGAGGAGTATTTACACGAGTACTAAATCAAGGAAATCAAGCAACATCATTGAGACAACAAGAGGAACAAAAAGGAGAAAAAGAATGGACAATGAATTCCAACCCTCTCATCGAGATGCAAACTTTGTTCCACCAAGCTGATGCAACAGGTTCGACGAACACGGGAAGAAGAAAGAGTAAGAGATTATAACTTTCAACAAAGACCACATAATAGTTCAAACTTTGTCGTTAAGAGAAAGAAATTAACATAGTCAGAATACTAAACAAATAGAACTAAATCCAAGCTATATTCAGGGTTCAACGGGAACAAGCATTGCTGTCTACTATATACTGAAAACTTGAAAAAGAAAGAACCCAATACGAAATAGAGGTTACAAGCAATATTCAATCACACCCCACCAAAAGTAGAAGATTGTAGATTCCCAAATAAAATAACATAATTCAAAAGTTGGCAAGAAACTAGGAAAAAGGTTGGGATATTTTAAGAGTACCTGGGCGGGGGGTTTGGAAGTGAGTTCATGGTTAATTTCAGATTGCAAGATTTTGAGCAAATCAAGGTCTTGGATTGCTCTTATGCCTTGAGAATAAAAACGAAGGCCTTGAATTACTTCACTGGATTTTAGCAGCAAACTACCTAGTCTTTGCATACTTCCCTCCAGATTTTCTACTGTAACTTCTTCTTTTGCGGCAGACGAATCAGTCTAAATTATTTACGAGCCAATGAGTTGAAGGACGAGTGTGCTGGTAGAAATCGCTGCCATGTAACGGCGACTTTGAAGGGACCGCACAGAAGACGTTACTGGAGCCGGATCTATTTGCAACATTAGGTTTTTTTCATCTTGGTCCTCCTAGTTACAACTTACTAGTTCGTTCGGCACTAAAACTTATTTCATCATTTAAAAAATGTTGCTATCTTTAAATGTATTTTTTTAAAAATCCCATTAGGAAAACTAAACAACTTTTTAAAAAAAAAACCATATAGTACCTTTTTAATACGAATTTCATTAACAAATTCATTACTTTCCTACTAGATAAAACAAGTATGGGTGAATATATTGAGAGTTGAATCAAGTCAAATTTTAGCATATTCAAGTTAAGTGTCACTCAAATTTATGAAACTCTATATTAAGCTCTTATTGTAACAATCGAGCTTAAACTTGATCTCAAATTCAAACTTAATCGAATTTAAAATCTCGATTATTAAAGTTCAATAAGTGACACTTTTAGAATAAATAAAATAAACATTTCGTTATAATAACATGTATAAAAATTATTAAATGGATATGTATTATTATACTTGATCAACCTTCAAGTCAATTTTCTTTGGACCCAAATTCAACTCAAAAGTTTAGTTAAGTCATTCAAGCTTGACTCAATTACACTGATAATAATTTGAGCATTCAAAATTAAAATGTTCTAACAAATAATATAGAGAAAAACAAAAACTTGCCTACTGAAAAGTCTAAAATACAATCCTTCGTTTGTTTGAATATTAGGGCCTTTGCATAAAAGGTGCGGATTTCCTAATTTTTCATAAACTTTGATGTTGAAATTTGGATTTTGTATAATGCAGTACGCTATTAATAGCTAGTTTGGGAGGATGGAAATGAAAAGAAAAGAAAGGTTTTGAAGGGATAAGAAAGTTTTTCCATTGTTTAGGAGTTAAAATGAGAAGGAAAAGAAAAGAAGAAAGATTCCACCGCCCTCCATCTTTTGGAAAACTTTCCGCCCAATGTTGGGCGGAAAGGGAAGGAACGGATAGAAGTTTAAGTAAATTTTTTAATATGAACAAATTACCCTTAAAATCCTGATACAAAATATTTTAATACCCGATGAATCCCTCTCACATTTGTTTATAGAAAGGGAATATTTGTAAAATAATTTGTTTAAGTATCTTTTTCTTTCCTTTGCATTCAACTCCCAAACAAAAGAAAACTACTCACTTTCTTTTTTCTTTTAAAACTCCCAAACAAGAAACTTTGATCATTTCTTTTCTTTTCTAACTTATCATTTCTCTTCTTTTCTTTTCTATTCTAAACTCCCAAACTAGCTATAAGTTTTTTCCATAGCATAGGGGGAAGTTGTGAACAAATAATAGTTTAGGTGGGCATTTTGCAATTATCAGCAAAACGAAAAGGAAAAAGAAAAGAAAAGAGGGTTCTGAGGGATGCAGGATAAAGTTGGGTGTGGGTGTGAGCACAGAATCAACATATCAAACTTTACCCGCTTCAATTTTTAGGGCTTTTCAAATCAATTGTTTAAACCCTCGAAATAAAACTAATAAACCCTGCTCCAGAAAACACGCACAACACACTGTAGCAGAAAACTGCTTAACAGCAATAATGGCGAGCGATGCAGACATGGGTAGCTGGAATGATCTTCTCCACTCGTCCTCGAAGCTACTCGAACAAGCCGCTCCTTCCGCCCAGTTCCCTCCTCTTCAGGTTCTAATGATAACTAAACAAGAATCCATGTTTTCTTTTCACTTTCAATTTTGTCGTTAGTCATTCAATTTTGTAGCTGAGTTTGGAAAATAAACGGAAAAAATAAAGCTAGAATCTGTTTTTTGTGGGTTAAAATAAGTTTTGGTGGAATGCAGAGGAATTTGGACCAGTTAGAAGCATTGTCAAAGAAGCTCAAGGCAAAAACCCTAAGAACTGAAGCTCCTTCACAATCTATTGCCGCGACTAGGTATTTAAACTATTAAATTATGGATTGTTCTTAACATGCGGATTATTGGTTTTGAAACACGTGGTCTGAATTTAACTTTTCGTGTTTCTGGTATGGTTTGCATTTAATTCTTTTCGTGTTTCTGGTGTTGTTTGCATTGAATTTTAGGTTATTAGCGCGAGAGGGGATAAATGCAGAGCAACTTGCGCGCGATCTCAAGTCATTTGAGCTAAAGGTATAATTCCTTGTGAATACAAGATGGTTCTGATATTTAGTACGAGTAAAGGACAATGAAATACAGCGTGGTGTTTGATATTGCATATAGGACAAAGCTGTTGAAGAGCAAAATGGTTTATGTTTGTATCAGGAAAATTCTGTTAATTGTTATTGATGAGGTTTTGTAGGATAGTGAATTTGGGTAATGCATTTACAGTTTTAGTTCTGGCACTCGGATATATTCAAGTGAATTTCTAAGTAAGCTCAAGAAGTGAGAATAGATGCTGAGAGTATTGTAGTATCTGTTTAGGTTACTGGATATCTCCACACCTGTAGTGTGGTTCTTCTAGTATAAGTCAGGTCGATATATCTGGGGTTCCATTTTGGAGGATTTTGTGTCAGTCAAAGCGTTCATGTTGGGTTTTGCCTTTTGTATGACATCGTCCTTTTAGCTTCAGGTAGTAGTACCTTTTTGGCTCGTTCTGGGAAGATATAAGTGTACACATATTCGGCAGACTTCTAGTTTGGAGAATTATAGAGTCTGCTGACTTGTATGCTTCCTAATAAAAGAAATTGAAGGGCAACCTAATAACTTTGGCTTCAAAGTTTACAAGTGCTGTTTTACCATTTTAGGTATTCAGAATAACAATTCTCTGAGGAACTAATCCCCTCTTTATCATGCTTCTTTGCGCCACTAGTATTTTTAACTCCCTATTTCCCTTTGCTCATTCTATCCACCATAAGAAGCTTGCTTCAATCTTTTAGTTTCTGTCCATTAATGTTTTACTTGTTCTCATATATTTCCTTGTCTTTTTGCTAGACAACATATGAAGATGTTTTCCCCGCAGAAGCAACAACAGTTGAAGAATATTTACAACAGGCAAGTATTTAAATGGGTTTGAAAATACATAAACCATAGCAATTGCATGTGTTCTACTAAAAGCATTGTCAATGAGGTGCTATATATGCTTGAAATTATTGTGCACTATGGAGTAATGAATCTGATTCCTTTTGCATAATTAATGTAGTTCTGAATATGCGGAAGAAGGGATGGCTTGCTCGCATTTATGGGGAGGGATTGCATTACTATTTCTCCAATTTTTGCCATAAGTCGACTTGTCAATATCATTTCATAAGTATTGGACTACCAGGCACGGATATGGTAGTTTTGTTACTTTCCAATATGGAACTTTTCACCTTTTTATTTGCAACCTCAAGGCATAATGTAGATTGAAAAATACTACTGTTTACATCCATTTTCCAGTAGTATTGCTGGTAAAACTGATGTTAAGGGTGGGGGCAGTTGGCTTTTCTTTTTCTAAAATGTCTATGCACATCTATGCTGTTGTCATGTCTGCTAATGTACGAGAATTAAAGTGATTCCCTCAATATCTGGACTCTAATTTGAATCTTAATTATGCAGAATCTGATTTCAATGGGTATTTTATGTTTGCAAATATGCAATCGTCAAATTAATATTTGCATGATTTATGATAATATCTTTTTTCTACTGTCTTAGCACTATGTGGTGCTTTTATAAGTTTTTTTTTGTGGTTTCCTTTTGAGCCTGCATAAGCTAGGCTTCACTAGGGTTTTGGAGACCTTTATGTGAAGCTTGAAACTTGAATTTGGTTTTGAACTTTCATCTTAATTATCCTTGTTATTTGACTTAGCTTTCTTGTGAGTCAGCTTATGTTATGTTTAATAAATGTTCCTAGTACTATAGATATACTTCTATAATAGATATTGTAACGTTGTTGAGCTCAAAGTAGGCAGGATAATACCATTATCGACCGTTCAAAGTAATCATGTTATGCCTGTGGTTTGGGCTTGAGATTGAAGAGTTGCAACTAAATTGGAGTTTGAAGCAAATATGAATTGGCCTATGGATGGAGTTTTATTCTATTGCTTCTGAGCAGCTTTTTATAGCTTGTTAGGTGGGTCTAGCTTGAAAGATGTTGAGCTTAATCAGCCTCTAGTTGAAGTTTTGCACTGCTTACAAGTGGCTTCACACAGCTTGTTAACTTGGACAAGCTTTAGTTTAGGTGAACATCAGTTGAGCTTGACTTTGAGTATTTTGAGTGGCTTCACATTTGTGGACCTCTTTTCCCTCAGTTCCGTGATATCTTAGTTAGGTTTATGAGTGTTGTGCCTACTCCGGCCGATAATAAGTTTTCCCCATCAGAAACCTTCTTTATTGCTTAAGTATTCATGCATTCACATTGGACATCAAGTGGCAATGAACTGCAATCTCATGCATCAGTTCTCCCATTTCTAGCATTTGGTGTACTTTTTCTTGATGAATATGAGCTGATGATGTCACTTGATCATGCTACCTCTCGCTTTGTATTCTTCAGGTCCATGAGATGGCAATGGTGTCAGCTGTACAGGAAGCTCAGAAGGATAATCTTAGAAGTTTCAGCGACTACATGATGACAGTTTTGGAGGTGAATGCTCCTGCATGAGTATGCTTCATGATCTTTTTGCTATGTTACAATACTTTAGGCTGCTATATGGGTAAACAGTTAAAACTACTGTGGAGTAAAATGTAGGTGTTCAGCATGAAGATATGGTTGTTTGGAATTCTCTAGGAGGACCTTAGTCATTCATTTGGTGCTTGATAGTCTTGTTTGTTCCTGGTTTTTTATGTTTTTTGGAGCTTATCTTGACAGGAGGACTGGCAAAAAGAAAAACGAGACTTCCTCCAAAGTCTGGGTCGGATTTCGAGGTTGCCCAGAATCAATGTGATGGATTCAGGCACTGGTTCAGTTCGTCAAGGTCAAATAGTGACACTAACTTCCAGTCCTCATGTTTCATCTGGTCCATCTACCATGGAGCTTGCACCGTTGGCTAA